GTCTGTAGTCGACCCACACTGCCAGGACCTTTTTCTTCTCTTGGAAGGCATCCTCTACAGCTTGTGACAGCTGGGTGACTTGGTGTCCTATGCTGTGACATTTAGTATGGATATTGTGATGGCTTTTCTCAATACTTGATGCACCAATCCTTTCTCCCAGCTGACGTTGAAATTTTACAGCAGCTTTACTTTACCAGCTGAGCCTAGATTGATCATTGCTGATTTAATCTGAACCTGAAGACTTTTTTAACTTAAAACTAGAAATGGCATTTTGAAGTTCCACTATTGTGTAACTGTCTAGGAGAGAAACTCTATTCATTGAGTGATTTAGCTAATTTGCAGAGTTGTCATCTTTCTCACGGATTAGAGCTGCTTTTTATTTCTTCAACTTTTCCGTTTTTCTTTAAGTTTAGTTCTCTGGGACACTGCTACAGCTTTTTTCCATGTGATGTGGCTGTCAGGTGAAGCCTAGTTGTTTCCTGACATTCCTGGGGTGTGCTGGACCGGGAAGGTCTGTAGTTAAGTCAATACCCTCTGGGGATTGCTTTTTTAGCAGCTTGAAAATACGTCTATTGAAATTTTGTACTATATTATTGACGTCCCTATTTTGTACCCTGGGGGCAGACACCAACATACTTATCTTTGTTTGTATAGACCCTAGTCGGCTTTCTTGTGGTTCCAACTTGTGAAGACTGGGCCTGTATTAACTGATAACATTCATGAAGTCACTTTAGTCACCATCCTCTGCCATCTCCTGACTCCACAAGATGTTCTAGGAGGTCCTCCAGTAGCTAGGAGGTGGATTCTGCTGAGGCTCAGAACCCAGCATTGCACCTCCCTGGTGGAACTCCACAGGGCGAGCACCAACATTAAATTTGTCAGATGGTTTAATCATATATATAGTGGGGGCTGTGGTGTTTGATCCACCTTCTCACCTAGTATTTCTGACTTCAGGATTTTTTTAGAGGCAGAGTGGGTTAATCGCTTTTCCTTCACCTCATTTGTTGTCCCATTCAGTTTCCTGCTGAGGGTTGAGACCCCAACCCTCCACTGGATTGCTGGGGAGAACAGGGTCCACCACATGAAGGTGAGGCAGGCTTCAGCAACAGAGGCTAGAAGACATTAATAGTCTTGTACTGTGCATAACTGCTCCATTAGGACCCCGGATAGGCTTTAGTTTGATCCAGAACTTTATGTGGACATCTGTTTTACAGATTTGGCTTATTTGTATGCCATTCAGACTACTGGTTCCTTGTCTCTCAGGCAGATGCACTCTGACTGTGAAGGAAACACCCCTAATTAGTCGTCTCCTATGTCATGCTTGTTAGAAAGGCAGTCGGGGTCTAGTTTGTTCTCCAAAATGCAGCCCCGGAACCTACAGGGAGTGTCTGAAATAAAAGAAAAACAAATCAAAGAAACAAGACCCAAATAAAGTCCAACAGAATATATACTTAAAAATACAATTTATTTATCTCACTTCATCGTATTCAAATCTGAAACAAATACGTAATATATTTAAAATTTCATTAAAAGTTTAAAAAATCAGTTTAAACAAAAATTATTTAAAAAAATTTTTTTTAATATTTACAATTGTAAAGTCAAAACTAAACAGCATTAAAAGTCTGTGGTTAAGTATGAGCAAGGAAATCAAGGTCTAGATTTTGAGGGCATGTTTCTTCACTGTAGCAACATATGGAAGTGAGCTGTGGACTATTTTGTAGTCCCAAAAAAATACAGAAAAAGGGGTTTTAGAGCTGAAATGCTACAGAAAGGTACTAAGAATACCATAGACCAAAAAAGAAAAGAAATACTAACATCCTGGTTGGAGCATAGAGAGAGAATAGCAGATAGTAACGAGACAACTGCACATACAAATGAACTAAATGGGAGGCAGACCAGAAGGTGAAGAAATACTGGGGTAGTAGTAGTTAAGATTTCTTATTCCATTCTGCTTTTATGGCATTAATAGCCCTTTTCAAGTATCGGGTAGCTTGCAGCCACGTCAATTTATATAAGAGACCTTCTACAGAAGAATATCCAAGCAAAATCAAAGAAGTGGACAGATGGTGTCTATGAAACCTACAAACAAACAAAAAAAGATGAAACTATCCATTACTTGAGAAATGCAAGACAAATACTGAATCTCACAACATTCAGCTGCAACCCACTAGCAGTGTGATGACGAAGGTGCTGCAATAAGAGTAAGAAATAATATCATCAAACTGTGGGAACAACATCCTGCACTAAATTCACTGAGAAGTATATCAAATGGTTTGGTCCTCCTGATAGAATGCAATCATACCTACCAACTCAGGCATCACCCCTAGAAGGATCTGATGTAAAAGCAATAGGGCGCCCAAGCAGAGGATGCACTGATGATGTTAATTATATATCCACGTGGAATGACAACAGCCAGTTAAGGTCAAGAGGATCGACTTCACTGCGCCAGATTTTATCCCATTTGAATGGCGAGCCACTTGCCAATGGCATGGTTAAAAAAAAAGCAAGTAAACATTGCACTCATGACCCGAATGCTTTAACCATGAAACGAACCCATGACCTTCAGAGCACTAGCCAAATGGCTTGACCACTTCGCCATGGAGATCCATCAAGCTGGTCTGCAAATGCTTTCACCAGCTCTTAAAGGTCAGAATGGAATTTGATGTTCATTATAATCATCTCAGGTCATGTGATGTGACTCAAGAGTTGAGAATATTTGGTTTGAAAGAATTTTGGTCAGAAATAATCTTCCCTGAGATTGACGTTATTTCATCCCAACCTCTTCAACAGTGTGATTTTTCAACCGTTGTCCAAAAGTCACAAAATTGGTCTTCTTTCCTTTTGGGCCCGAGCAACACATTTATTTATTTCAAAACAATTGAAACAGAATGCTAACAATATATACAGTTTACCTATAATTCACATATGTAAAATGATAATACATAATAATGTCTTGTTAAAATTACACGCATTACAATTTATCAAATGTAGTTTAGTGCATTTTTTTTTAATGGACTGCAGGCAGCTAAATAAAAGCAACGCAGATGTTTAAAGCTGGCTAAAAATATTCTGGAAAAGTAAACCAGACTGGCCATACTACCTGTATGCCAGCTGTTTGCCAACAATTCTGACCTAAGACAGTATATATAATGTGCCACTGTGGCATGTAAATAAACTTACTTTATATGATTATTTTTCTCAACTAACAAAACAATAATGAAAGAGACGTAAACTAATGTGTAAACTCAGAGCACATCTTCATTACTACATGCAGATGTAGTGTATTAAAACAAACTCCATAGCCTGCATTATCAGAATGCCCAGATTTTCCCTGTCAGAGAGAAGAAAGATGACCTACAGGGGGGACCCTGCAATGACCCACATCAGGGACCCTGCTCTGACCCACAGGAGGGACCCTGCACTGACCCACAGGAGAGGACCCTGCAAGACAACCATATGGCACCAGGAAGACCTCAGTGCACTGTCCAGTCTGTGACCCAAACTGGAATAGATGTACAGTCAATGTCAATTGCTAGAGAAGTAGGAGCCATATGTGTGTTTTGATTAGTTGAACTCAAGTTGATAACATCAGTATAAACACATACAAATGCTTACTTCCCATGAAGAAATAGGAATTGAACAGAAATTCAATAACTGAACTTATTAAAAAATGATGATGTTTCAGTTATCGTTTGATAGTGACAAGATAATGATTTTATATTTACTGTAAATGATTACAGGATATTTTAGTCATAACTATGATGAAAACATAATTATAGTTTAGTTACATTTGCTATAAATGGTGACCAGATGTTTTTAGTTATAGTTACACAAATAAAGACAGGATAATTTACTTATTGTTATTATAAGTGGAGAAAAGGTACAGCTCCTGTAAATGAAAGAGGAATTAATTTTCAAACCCCTATTGTACATGAAAATATTAAAGTGAACTGTATTACTGTAAATGACAGCACTTCATTATTTCTGATACAATATAAATGGAGTTTATTTTCACAACAAAGATTTCCTTTTCACTGCTATAAAAATTCTGGCCACAAAAGATCAGTTAACAATGGCTTCTGTCTTACCCAAATTTCCCTCTTGTACTGTTATACGATAGCTATTTTATATTGACGTACATGTGTTCATAGTTTAGGCTTAAGTTTAAGCCTGTCACCCCAAGTTTAACCCTGTCACCCCAAGTTTAACCCTGCCACGCCGTGGCTAAGGCGTTGCGAGTCCGACTCGTAAGCCAGCATACCGCGATCGAAACCCACTGCAGGCTGCGTGGATTTTTGTCGTGGTATGGGACGTTGCAGGTCGACCCAGCCTAAAATGGGTACCAGGATGGGCTGTCCTGGGAAAGTAAAGACAGCCGGCGTAATGCTGACCACATTACCCACCGAGTGCTGATGGTCTGTAAAAATATGGGACGCTCTGCCCATATGCCCGATACGCCGAAAGGCGTGAAAAGGGAACTTTACTACTAACTTCAGTTACTATATTCATATCCTCCATTATTAAACAGTGGACAGGCGTATACAAAACCAACGGAATTTAACTACACTTTTTGAGAACAGCTCACTGAAAAAGAGGCTGACACATTTATGGGACTGTGTCACAATCTGAGGAGACTTGATTTGGTCTTTCTGGGTGAGAGGGTTAAACTATAAAAAAAAATCACTAGGCTATTCTATTATATGTCATATAAGGCTTGCAATCTAGTCCTCCATTCTTTCTATCTGTGCCATCCTTTTGACATCATGAATGAAATGCAGTCCAGCACTTTCTTAAACTACCCTGCACCACATTTCTACAATTTTAGCTCACTGAGACTCCAAGACTAATTCTCTAGAGAATATAAACTCTTGATTTGCAAATGCTGAAATAACTGTGACTGGTACAGAAAGAGTCACACTTTGAAACTGCTCAGTTACTTTACAGAAACTGTATAGATTATTAGGATGATCACAGATCTTTTCTAGTGAAAAGATGTCTCTTCACGTAGTTTCTCCAGAATTGTCTCTGGAATCTGATAGTCCACTGCTACTGTGCTGCATCTGCCTTTCTATGATTTCAGAGTACTGCTGGCCAAACACTGATCGGTTGTGGGAGCTGAGGCGAAGGAAGTTTCCCAGAATCTGTGTCAGTTCCTGCTGAACAGCAGAACAGCCTTTTGGTATCTGTAGATTGTGAACACTCTTGCCTGTCATGCCATCTTGTAGAAAACCCATCAGGCGTGAATCTGTAAGTGGAGGTAAAGTGGTATTTTGGTTAATTATAGTAAATGGAAGGAGTCATAGATGTATGATGGTTGATTTATTTATCAGAAGGTAAAGTGGATTTTAGACAGTTACAGTAAATGAACAGAGCCATCATGGATGGTTTATTATTCAAAAGATCAAGTAGTGATTTAGTTAGTTACAGTAAAAAAAATGGCTGCATGTTGGTTGGTTAATTTTTTAAAAGGTAGTTTTTTTTTTTTTTTTAAGTTAGTTACAATTAACAGAAGGAGCCATTGTGGTTGGTTTAATAATCAAAGAATTAAATGGTGTTTTAGTTATGTTATAGCAAATGGAAGGAGCCATAGCTGTATGGTGGTTGACTTATTAATCAAAAGATAAAGTGTTGTTTTAATTAGTAACAGTAAATGGACAGAGCCATGTTGGTTGGTTTATTAATCAAACATTTAGTGGTGGTTTAGTTAGTTAAAGTAAATGTCCTCTTTTACCGCTTCGGGTTAATTACTAAAAGTAAAGTGGTGGTTAAGGCAGTTACAGTTAATCTAAGCACCATGGTGGCTGGATTATTATTCAAAAGGTAAAGTGGTGTTTTAATTAGTTATAATAAATGGAATGAGCCACTGCTATATGGTGGATGGTTTATTTATCACAAGATAATATGGTGTTTAATCAGTTACAGTAAAATGAAACAGACGTGATGGCACAGTGGTTAGTCTGATAGTCAAAACAGTAAAGTGGTGTAAATCTGTGTGAACGTTATCCCAAAATTACAAATCACAAAATTAACTCATGTGAATGGTATTAAAAAATACCAATTACAAAGGTAATCTCTGCAAATCTAACCTCATAAAAGAGAAATCACAAAGAAGCTTTGTAAACTTTTTTTTTTAATATTACAACTAATAAATGTGCATTTTACATTAAAAAATACACATTAACTGCCACAAACAATTTAAAAAAAAAAGAAGCAAAACTCACGCATAAGTTTGCGCACGTTGTTATCCCTGGAGCCGAGATTCATTATTTGTCCCTTCAGCGTCTGCTTGATTTCATCAGTCAGCGGGGGCAACTTTCGACTCTCTAGACTGTCGTTGACATCCTTGACAACCTGGTCTGCTATTGACTCAAGGACGGGTTTGATTCCCCTAGAGAGAAAAAAAGGCATGAACAAGATCAGCGAGATTTACAAGCATGTGACATGAAGATGACGATAACAGTAAATGATTTGACTCTTTTTCATGATTGCACTCAGCTCTTATTTTTAGCCTGTTTTTTAAAACCTCCATATATGCCTAGTTTTATTTTCATGAAAAGATAATTATGTGTGTGTATACTCATACTCTTAGAGCCTCTTATTAATTATTATTATATACACTCATGCCCCTAGAGTCTCTTTGTGTACACACAATTCCTAAGAGTTGTATTATTGTGTACATTCACATCACCAAGCTTCTATTTGATTATCTCATTCCTAATCTATTTGCAATACTTCAGCACCATATTACAATAATTATAGCAATTTACTCTTCTCATTTGTAAGTTATTATTTATTTATTAAGATACTATAATACAGATGATGTTAAAATCTTTCCTTACTCTCATCTCTGGAATTCTGTGCGAATAAAAATACTTTTCTTGAGCTTACTCACATTCAATGATCATGATAACTGTCAGTGTTTACCATTTATTCAGGCCCATACAGTTGTTACTTATCAATTTTTATCTCAAAAGTTAAAAAAGTTAAAAGTCAAAAGAATCGACTTCATTATACCAGGTTTTATCCAATATAGCTCTGTCTCTCTCCACAGAGCAGCTACCTTCCTGCCAAGAGTGTGGCATAAAGCATGAGCTCTGTAGCCTCATTGGTGTTCCCCTGGGGTAATCGTAAAAACTGCACCCGTGAACTGAATTACGCAGTTGTAAAATAAACCCATGACTTTCAGAGCACACAGCAAATGGCTTGACCATTTTGCCATGAAAACCCTCATGTCTCAATGTGTGTGTGCTTTAAAGTAACAATCTTTGAATTTGAATGAGTCACAATAATACCAATCTTTGAATCTGAATGAGTCAGTATAATACTTACTATGAGCAAAAAGAAAGAAGTAACAATTGGAATTGTGTGTTGTTCATCCATTACAAGTGATAATGACCAGTCCTTTCATCCACTAAGTAATGTGAGGTTTAAGGGTACACTGGTGACTAAGACATTTGTGAGAACCAAGTGAGGACTGTGAATCTGCAAACATGACCAGACTGTGTGAACAACATGTTAAAGGGAGTGTGGCCAGACAAGAGCAATTTGGATGAAGCCAAAGAAGAAGAATAAACTAACTCAGAACAGGTGTCGTAAGCCGCTAAAAGCTGCGAGATTTACTAAGAAGTTCCTCAGTATGCCAGACCATCCCATGAAAAATAGATTTCAGAACCTAGCTGTGGGATAAGCAATTTGGAGGAAGCCAAAGAAGAAGAATAAACTAACACAGAACAGGTGAAGTGAGCCACCGCTAAAAGTAGCAGGATTTACTGAGAAGATTCTCAGTATGCCAGACCATCCCATGAAAAACAGATTTAAGAACCTAGCCTTGGGACGGTTAAAAAGAAGCAGCTTTATACACCAAGCAAAAATAATATGTAGACAAACTACTGACCTTCCAGAAATTGGTTGTCCACTTAAAAGTATTCCGGAACAAACCCCATGGAGAGAAAAATGTAAACTAACAGTACAAATCCAGACAAATGTGAAAGGAATATTTGACAAGAAAGAGCAAGATAGTGTACAACGCAAAATGGCCACCCTCAGTTATAATGATGAAGAATACCCACAAGAACAATGGGTCAGAGTCTATACAGATGGGTCCACACAAAGTGCAGTTAGAAATGGTGGTGCTGGAGTGTACATAGAATTCCCAGATGGTACTAGTGATAAGTCCAGCATACCAACCGGGAGAGAAAAGACTAAGAAGGGAATCCAAGCACTTAAGGATTAAATGGTTCAAAAGGCAATAATGATAATCTGTCGACTAACTAACTGTGAGTGTCAGGTTAATCAATCATACAACTGGGATAGAATGGACTAACATACAACGTGGTGAGCTGCATGAGATTGCAGAGGATAGGACAACCTGGTATGAATTGGTTTAGCACCTCTGCTCTATTAGTAGATCTGACTGACACTCAACGCTTAAAGGAAATGCAAGATGGCCATATAATCAGACTGTCAGTGGCATCACCAAAACTGAATCTCAGAGCTGGCTACTGAAGATATGTACAGAGCACTTATGGGAATGGAATGTCAACTTTTCTTCTTTCCTAACATTCTTCATCCGAGAGACGTAATTGTGTTGTCCAGCACAGATGTGATATTTTCACCTTTCCGCAAAATATTGGTTCTTCACGCAACTCAACTTCATTAGTGAGTTACAGGCAGAAGAAAATAAATCCCTCTTAAACTTACTTCTGGCCCACATCCTGCAGCAGAATTTCCACATGCTCTTTCAGCTGCTTCTTGAGATCATCAACACCTTCAATAGAGGGCCCGACAACACTGTAGGTAATCAGCTGAACAGATGTGATGAGGCCCAGGGTGTGTAGTTTGTCTCTCATTGCCATGAATCGGAACATGTCTATCATCAAAGTCTGCATTAAAAGAAACCAAATCTGTCAGTTATTTAACTAATGTATCAGTGTTTTATTTCATTTATGTTTTAACAACTTGCAACATAAGTGGAAACAAAACAGAAATACTGTAATAAGGGAATTCCCGGAGAACCCCTTGTGATGCGACAGAGTGACAGGCCAGTGAGAAAACGGGCTAAACCAACTAAATGACAGTCACACAGGGAGTGAATAGTTACCAGCCCAAACTCCGTGAAAAGAGAACTAAGGTTTGGAAGAGCAAATGAGATAAGGGCAGTTGGTTTTTGGACAGGAATGGAAGCGGTCACAATGTGCTGAGTGGAAGAATTGTCTTTGCAATTATTGTCCATGAAGAGAGATAAGCGGTTGCCAAATCTACTTTACAGATGATTCCATGCATGTTAGTAAAAATGAGAAGCCTGGAATGAAAGGTGAATACCTGTGTGCTCGACAAATGATGTTCTCTGCCATACTTTGTGTCATCCAGTTTCACGTCGACTAGGTAACGAGACTACCGACTGGACTGCATTGTTTGTTGGAACTGCAATAAACATTTGACTTGACTCCAGCTGGTGTGGTTTTACATCATTGTGTTCTAACTCAATTAACAACATGATAGAAGTTAGAAACAAGTCCAGGCAGGTCCAGATTGAATCCAGGGAAAGCTCCATTCTAAATACAGGGGTAGTGAAAAGATGGAATGGATCTAAAGTTATGTGGGTGTGGAAAGCAAGGGGTAACTACCACATTATTAATCCACGAAAATCATAACAGCAAAATCATTTCACATCACAAATACCTGCACAAAAACGAAAATCAGAGCAGTATTTGAGCACACATGTAAAAAAAAAAAAAAAATCACTAAGACATTCACGGATTAATAAAGAATAACAACAGCAACATTTTAGAGGACAGGAACACTGAGGACTGGTTCATGGTCATCTCATGTCTTCTAAAGGTGGACAGTGGGGATAGGTTGAGCATGAAAACACATGCGATGGAGAAACAGGCAACAGACTGAGTAGCTATCTGGCAAGCCAAAATTGAATTCACATTCCGCAAAGAACTAGGTATATAATGAGGTTGTTAATTTGAGACAGATAACAAACTATGAATACAAAGAGCTTTAGCCAGTGCCTGTGCTGAATGGAGAGAACTGAATGAGGTGAGAGAATCACTCATGTGGACCTGTGGAAGGGAACTAAATAAAATCCAATGAATCAACAAAAATGCAGTTGAGAGAACTGAATGAGGTGAGAGAATCACTAATGTGGACCTGTGGAAGGGAACTAAATAAAATCCAATGAATCAACAGCTTAGAAAAAAATGCAGTTGAGAGAAGTGCATAATGTGAAAAAATATGGTGATGACGTAGGGTGAGCTGTGTACACTGACTGACAAGGGGTTAAAACGACATGATTAAGGGGCTACCCTCCAATGTAGGATAAAAGGCAAAAGAAGAAAAGGGAGAAGAAAGAGGGAGGATGAGGACGAGGATGAGGGAAAGGGAGGAGGAGAAAAAGAAGAACAACAAGAAAGAAGAAGATGAAAAAGTAGATAAAGAGACAGAAGATGAAAGAGAGGAGGAGAGAAATAAGAAGAACAAGACATACCTCTGGGAAGTTGTTTGGATCTGACCATTCTAGAACTTCCAGAAATGCTTCGGTCATAACATTTGCAGGAGTCACAGCTTTGGTGCTAGATGACCCAGCGACAGCTGAAGGGTCGGATGCTTTCTTCTGTAATTTTTCATAATTACGTTTCAGCCAGACCTCAGTGTACTGGAGAGCATTGACCCCCAGAGCTGTCAACAAGAATAAATAAACTGTCTTTACTTCCCGCATTTAGACATTCGCCTGTGGATCGGAAGGTCGTGGGTTTCAGTCCTGGCGGAGACAGACTTGTTTTCAAAAATGAACTTAGCTCCCCAGCCGACCCGGCCTTGACTGGGTGCCTGGTACAGTTCTGAGAAGTAAAGGCAGTCGGTATGATGTTGACCACATTACCCACCAAGTGTTGACTGGTCTATCAAATATAGGTCTAGTCCTATATGCTCAATACTCCCAAAGAGACTCACAGAGCATGTTAAGAAAGGTGAAAACAGGCATGCTTCGTGCAGAGTGGCAAGCATCAATTCAGAGGTCCCGGGTAGTTAGCATCCTTTGAATATTTTCTCCAGGTGATGCCGGTGTGGTGGGAAATAAGCAGGCAGATAGACTGGCCGGCTCTGCACCACTAGGTGGTGAACTGATGTATGACAAGCTGGAGGTTGTGGGTGCCCTTTTGGAACGAGTGAACAGTGAGGAGGGGCAGATAGATCATTATGGTCTGAAGAGAATGGCGCTGTGAGGAGTTACCAGGGAAAGGAAGAGACGGATATAGAATCAGACAGTTACTAGTGCCATCGGAATTGGAACTCTTCGTTTGCTTATGGGAGTGTCCAGAGTGCTGTGATGTTGATTCTCAATTTAACATTCAACATTTTACGCCCGAAGGTGTGGAAAAGCAGCCTGTTTTTATAACAATTTAGAGTAGTGCAGGACAGGCAAGTTTTCAGAATTAGATTTAAGGTATGCACTGTCAAAGCAGTTGCCATGCATTGTGCAAGTCAGGATTTTGTTTCTGCCCCGTGATTTTAAAAAAAAAATTTCAATACATTCAGAAAATTAAAACATGTAGCCATGGTAGTAAACTGGCTAGAACAATAATGACTGGTTTAGTGCTCATAGGTTCAAATCTACATCAAGGCAGATTGTAGAACTGACCTGGACTCCTCGGTCGACCTTTACTTTTATCTGTTCTGCTTAACCCTTACAAGAGACTCTGTGCTGCAGTTGACAACTAAGCTGTGATATCTGCACCTTTCGGCTCAACACATCCAATGTCAGCAAATTCCTAATTAGTTGCCTTTTATGGCATGCTTGATAGGGGGCAGTGGATATAGCACCCCCCCCCCCTCCCCAAATTCTGTTTTTAAGATCAAGATCCTTATCATCAAGTGTCTTGTCAATGCTTTTGGGTTGTCATGTCTCTCCACAACAAGCAACCTCCAACATTTTGCCTCAGTTCATGTCCTGACACCCCTCTATGCCATGAGTCTGTCAAAAATCTTCTCATGTTGTCTTTTCCCCTTTTCCACATATCTTTTCAGTAGTGACATCTCTTCTTATAACATGACCACAAGTGAAGACTGTCTTCTTTGGATACTTGTGATAATCTGTCTTCAGGTTTCACCTCTTTTAAAACACTTCTGCGTTATCCATCTTTGGCTGTCAAGGTTCAAGATAAAAGACACATCCAACTTCTCAATGGGACAGTAGTAGATGTTCCCTGTGTGGGTTCTGGGGCCCCATTATGAGGAAAACAAGAACAGACCCACTGCCTCTCCAACAAACAGGTTGTAGAAGTCGACTAACTCTGGACATCCTTTGAAATCAGAGTACATCTGCCTTGGAGGCAGGGAAAGTCATCAAACAAATAAGCTAGATGTGTGAAATGGATGTGCCCACAACACTCAGGTTCTGGACAAACACCCAAAACTTTCTGCTGGAGTTTACAGCCAGTGAACGCGAAAAAGAAGAAGTAGTAGTAGTAGAGGTATCTTGGGATGGATGTTGCATAGGAGGATTGAGCATACATGGAAATATCCAGTGTACAATGACGCCGACTGTAATAATATAACCTATTTCAAGCAAAACAATTTTTTCTTACAATTCCAAAAGACTCACCTCTCTGAGTTTCAAAATATTCAGCAAATTTCTTAGTCTCATATTCTATGTTCTGTTGTATGTATGGTCGGATCTGCTTGATTGTGAAATTGGCCATATCCCTGCGCATCAGCTCTAAAGTTTCCATTATAGCCCTGGTTGAAAATAGAACAATATGAACAAATTGAGTTTACAGCCAGCATCAATGAGAAACAATACAAACAAATTAAGTTTACAGCCAGCATGGATGTGAAACAATACAAACAAACTGAATTTACAGCCAGCATCAATGTGAAACAATACAAACAAACTGAATTTACAGCCAGCATGGATGTGAAACAATACAAACTGAATTTACAGCCAGCATGGATGTGAAACAGCACGGAACCAAAATCATGTACATTGATGGAATTTACAATTAGCGTAAAAGAGGATAAAGATTATGGTGCAAGGTTTTAATGATAGACCTGCAATCTACATTGATGGGAAGAGTGGGGACAGCTGACCATTTTACCTATCTGGGATCTACAGTGAATAACAAACTGTTACCGGACCAAGAAATCAACATCAGAATAGATAAGGCAGCAACAACAATGTGCAGATTAAGAGAGGTTGGGAGAGTGGAAAGCTCACAATTAAAACAAAAACTCTTGTCAATCAGGCATGTGTTCTCAGCACTCTGCTTTATGGCAGTGAAACTTGGTTAACTTTATTGGCACCAGGAGAGACGGCTAAATAGCTTTCACACGTGATGCCCAAGGAGACTACTTGTCAGTAAGTGGCAGGACAAGATCACAAACACTGATAGGAAAGAGCAGGTGTTACAACAGTTTCTCAATGCTCAGTCGCCAAATGCTCAGATGTCTGGGTCACACCTGGAGACAGAGGATGGTAGAGTCTCTAAGGACATCCTCTATGGTGAATTACAGATGGGTGGAAGATGTTGAGTTCTCAATTACCATATAAAGATGTGTGAAAGCAGTACATGAATGATACAGGTACTGAGGTAGATTTGTAGAATCAAAATGCCACAGACTATGTTGCATGAAGGAAAGACAATAAAGTAAAACATAATTGCAGAAAACATTAGAGCTAGGCGTCTGAGAAGACACTTAAATACATGTGATGGCAACAATGGTCCTGAAATCTGATGCCCTAATTGCGGAAGATGGGTGGGTCTAGCTAGTCGCACTTGACATCACCAGTGGCTAGTCGCACCTGACATCACCAGTGGCCAGTCGCACCTGACATCACCAGTGGCGAGTCGTACCTGACATCACCAGTGGCCAGTCGCACCTGACATCACCAGTGGCCAGTCGCACCTGACATCACCAGTGGCCAGTCGCACCTGACATCACCAGTGGCCAGTGGCACCTGACATCACCAGTGGCCAGTGGCACCTGACATCACCAGTGGCCAGTCGCACCTGACATCACTAGTGGACAGTTGCACCTGACATCACCAGTGGCTAGTCGCACCTGACATCACCAGTGGCTAGTCGCACCTGACATCACCAGTGGCAAGTCGCACCTGACATCACCAGTGGCAAGTCGCACCTGACATCACCAGTGGCCAGTCGCACCTGACATCACCAGTGGCTAGTCGCACCTGACATCACCAGTGGCAAGTCGCACCTGACATCACCAGTGGCAAGTCGCACCTGACATCACCAGTGGCAAGTCGCACCTGACATCACCAGTGGCTATGAGTTCTATTCCTCCTCGCAGCACAATATAACGCTATTATCTGCAAAGATGGAAAGGTGCCAACTTCACAAATTAGTGTGGAAGGAACACAAAGAAAAAGACTAAGTTTACACAATACAAAGTAAACTAACTGCATTTATCATTAGAAAGTAAGGGATACAGTGTCAAGAGCTGCCTTTACAATTAGCATGGAAGGAGCATGGAATGAATACAATGTAAACAGATGGAACTTACAGTCAGAATGGAATTTATCCAATAAGCAGACAGAATTTACTATCAGGATGGAAGACACAATGATTACAACCAGCATGGAGCGAAACAATGCAAACAGATGGGGTTTAAGTAGAATAGATAGTAGATGTATACTTACTTTTCAAAAACTTGGAACAAGCTGCAGTAAAAAAATATTCAAATCCCCCAATGGCAACACAACTTTCCCACAACTGACCTAAACTTTGGCACCACATCCTTAATGGCCCTGATTTCTGTGATGTTCTCATCCCTGGCTGGAGCGCACAGTCTGCTCATGATGTCGGTTACGTACTTTGCATAGTAGCCAAAGTCAAACACCTCGTTCTCCATCTGTTGCTTGATGAGAGCCATGTCAAGGACCTCTTCGATCTGTTCCCTCAAACGTTGGTGTTGTGGTAACAGGATGTCCAGCAGTGTCTGTCAGAAATAAACAATACACATTAGTTGGGTTATCTTCATTGCACTCCAGGAGTGTTGAGAAACCCCATCTCCCAACCTCAAAATACACATTAGTTGGGATATCTATATAGCACTCCAGGAGTGTTGAGAAACCTCATCTCCCAACCTCAAAATACACATTAGTTGAGATATCAATTTAGCACTCCAGGAGTGTTGAGAAACCCCATCTCCCGACCTCAAAATACACATTAGTTGAGATATCTTCATTGCACTCCAGAAGTGTTGAGAAACCCCATATCCCGATCTCAAAATACATATTATCATTCCACAGCTAAAAAAGCCAGTCTTATGCTGATTTACAAGAAATGTTTGTATGTCTGGAATGCCTCTTATGCCTGGCTGTGCTGATATTTACTCACAATCTTAGCAAAGACAACTATCTAACTAGCCAGCTAAACAAAGCTTGGTTATTATGTAAAATAACAATATAGTTATGGATGTAATGGTGCAAGTTTTACACTATTTAGGTAAACATCTACTCAGTATAATTTATGTGCAAAGAGGCTGGGCTTATAAAAGGGCAGGCTAGAAAAGACAATCACTACCTAGCTGAAAGTGGTCAACGATAAATGATTGATTGATTGATTGAAGACAATCACTAGGTTAACAAGATCATTATGGGACATGAAAAGAGGTCAGCTTTGCTAAGATAATGTGTGTGAATTGAATGGATGATCAGAAGGGTAAAGGAACCAAAGATTCATTCTGTGTTTGACCCTGGGACTAGTTAAATTGATGAGTGAATGTAAGTGAACCTGAAGACTGAGTATACCCAAGCACCCTGCAGTGTCTATGAATATTTGTAACTGTCAAGATGGATGTCAGAGTGATGACTGCCAACTGTTTCCACTAAATTTTTTTCTTTTAATCTGAGCAGAGACCCAAGTAGTTTGTATCCTTTGGATATTTTCGTCATCTTCTCTGCTTTGCGGTCATATTTCTTCAGCATGGGTCTCAAAGGTTGTAGCTGCCAGGAAACTCTTGTGCTGAGTTAATAACTGATATCACAGTACTCAGGACATTCCCATAATTGATCCGTCCCCATCTTCAGCACCCAGCACAGTTTCTGCATTCTGTTTTTTATTTCCGTGTCCAATCTTCAAACCTCAGTGAATACACTGCCTGGGTAGTTAAACTCCTTTAAAAACGTTTGTTGCGTATATTTTACAGGACATTGCAAATTTTACGTTCAGTAGTTTGCCACTGCTTCCTGAACAGGCAGCTCTCGGTACCACTGTCCAAACCAGTGCGAGACAAATCGTCAGCACCTGGGATCGAACCCAGCACCCTAGCATTACAAAGCGAGTTTACAACGCCTAAGCAACAGACGCCGACAAATTTAAACTCCTTAGCTTGTTTTAATGTCTCTCCTTCAACAGAACTGGTGTTCTATTTACTGTCATTATTTCTTTCAAATTGTCATTTTCATATCACATTTCTTGCAACAGTTGCTGATGCTGTTTATATGGTTTTGGGGGTTATCCTTATCTATGTGTATTATGTATGGCACAATTCGCTCCCTATCTTGAGCATATGTGCTGAAACAATTAAATGCCATAACAACTTGCTGAGCCTGTCCTGAAATAATTTCTAACTGCACAATTTATCAAACAGTTTTGAAACACAAGTTTTTGTGGGATATATCTGAGGCAGCCTGCTGGATGTTGGGTTAAGATAAGTCAAGAATTGACATCACAGCACTCAGGGCATCCCCATGCATGCTCCGTCCTCATCTTCAGCAGCCACCACAGAGTTCCATTATTGATGGTACTGGTCACAATCTGGCTATATGTCAGTCTTGCCTTTCCTCTGAGTGTATTGAGCCAGCCAGACCCTCTGGTTACACCCAGGTGCCTCATTCAGGCCATAATAACCTTGTTTCTCTACTGATTCTGTTGCTTGTTACCAAAGTGCCCTGACCACATTTGCCTTGTCATATATCAAGTCACCACCCAATGGTGCAGATCCAGCACTGTTTACATGTAGGTGTTATGTTATCATAATAGATGTCTTTGCACACTGAGCATTCCCATGTATGCTTAATCCTCTGGCACAGCAACTACTTCAAAGTGCCTGTACCGATTGCTCCCATGAGGAGTTGGTTATAGTGTCTGTAACTTGAACACAGCATAGACATGCTTCATCAAGCTTAACTCCTCAGTCACGCGATTGTTGTAGTGTCAGTGATTCAACATTACCCCCCATCCTAGTCCGTACAGCATTGATGATAACAGCTCTGTCCAAGGTGGTAATAATGTCCATTCTATACCTGCCATAATAGTTGACAACAAGTTTTGAAAATATTTTTAAGCTTGAAAACAACAATTTATGAAATGACATTTTCCTTGGTAACCAAATATATCTTTGTATATACAAGTCTAAGACACAAAAACAGCTTGTCACAAACATCAGGGGCACTACAAACTCACCTCACGCAGCTCCTCCAACATGGTGTATGCAAAGCTAAGGTCTGGAGGATCTTCATTGATCTTCTCCTCAAAGACATCCCAAAAGGCTCGTTTAACTGTCTCTGCCACTTTATGTTTCCAGCTGTACAACGGTATTTAACAAACACCATGACCATGTTTATGGGCATCAAATAAAGCAACTACCGATCAATTATATTCATTAAACTGTGCCCGTGCAGAATCAAATTAATTACATAGAGTGACAGAATAATTAATGCTGAGCTTTGTGAGAATTGTGTTAAATAAAAAAAATTAAAAAAATTAGACAGTATGATAGAATAATTCTTCTTTATGTTCAATGGCTGTAAATTCAAGCGAAAAGTTTTGGTTGTTTGTCCACCTTTGGACATAAGCCTTGCTTTAGAACCTGAGTTGTGTGCACATCTGTTTTACAGATCTCACTTATTTGTGTGCAGACTGTTGGTTCCTTGCATCTCAAGCAGATGTACTCTTCCAAAGGAAGTAACTAGTTTGTCAACTCCTACAACATGCTTGTTAGGATGGCAGTGGGTTTATTTTTGTTTTCCCCCACAAACCACAAGGAGGATAGAATAATTAAGGTCAAGCTTCAGGAAAACAAATTTAAGGGAATAAAGAAGTGAGAAAGGGATGCTGGCACTGCATTTGACACACACTTAAAAATCCCTATGATGGTATAATCAGAAGGCCTTACACTGTTGCCAAAATGGCCAAAGAAATTAAGAGAAAAAAAAAACATGTGGAGAAGAGAACTGAAGACAGAGGTTAAAATTACAAATAGAACATGACGCATGCTGCATGAGATGGCAAAGGATAGGAAGATTTGATGTGAGTTGGTCGCCTATATGTGCTAAATCACAGAATAAAGGACAGAAGAATTAGCAGAAGACAAAGAAGGAGAGAAATATAAAGGAGTAAGAAGAAGACAAATATAAATGAGTGGGGGAAAAAGAAGGAAGAGAAGGAGGAGACAAAGAAGAGGAGGAGGAGGAAAAAATACAAGTAGCAGCAGAAAAAGAAGAAGATATTGAAGGCGAAGAAATCCTACAGCCCAGAAATAAGTTACATGTATTTATGTACTATTATGATAATCAAATGTACCTGTTTGGTGGTGGTTCCTCTTTGTGCAATTCAAATTCATCATTAACAGCAATCTCGTGTGCAAGGGTAATGTTTTTCATACTATCAGCTGCCGACATCAGCTGTTCAAAGGTCACAAATCTTGGTGGTGAGGCTGCAAATTTTCAGCAAATAACAATTAACTATGTGTCTGTGGTTTAGATATTAGCGAATACATTTAACAATTTTATTATCCTCAAGTGCTACAATTCTCCATCGCTAACAAAATGGACTCCTGATGCCAGAAGGGGTAAAATACCAGGCTATGGCTAGGGTAAGCCAGGCAGAAACTCTTGCCAGAGTGTGCCCCCCCCCCACCCCCCCCCCCCCTTAGGTGGTGCCGATGCTGGTAATCGATGCTGGACCCACAGGTGCATGGACATGTCCCAATCTCAAGCAAGGCCATTCCCAGAGCCCCTTCCCCCTCCCCGGATAATCAAATAATCAAAGGTGGAGAAAGGACCATCTGATTTCTGGCAGGCAGTGTTTGGATGAACCAGGACATGGAAATCGCGTAACTTCCCCCATCCAAGACAGACATGTCGGCCTGAATGGCGTGGGCACTCAGAAATAGAAACAGACATCAGCACAATCTACGGCTAATGAGTATGCTTAGACAACTTCACCGTTAGGGGGCTACTCCTGTGGACTTCTGCTAGGCAGGAACAGCGTCCGATTCCAAGCCTCGAAGGGATCCACCCCAAACTACTGATGGCAGCTCTGCGAATCAGCGGTGAGAATTAAACAGAGTAATGCGTCTGGCCAAAATAATACCAAAACACTAAAAAAAATGCAGTGAAATGCAGAAACAGGTCATGATGAAAAAGCTCGAACTGCAAAAGTTTATATACGAACATTGATTAATGAGGTCTTCTGCATTCAGGAAACCCATTTAAATACAGGCTCTTGCTTTTCTGTTAGAGGTTATAAAACACATAGGCTAGACAGAGATGGCCACAAAGGAAGCATCATTATATTAGTTAAAAATGCTATTGCAGCCAGAGAAACTTCCAGAAGCATCATTGAGTCTAAACATCTAACAGTAAAACTACATATCCTTCCAGAGCCGCTTTACGTTACTAACTTTTACTGTCCCAGCAACAAGAAATTGGAACTAGAGGACATCCCAGGTGCTGATAAGAACCACCTAATTCTCAATGACTTTAACAGTCATTCCCCTAGTTGGGGTTATGTTTCTTTGGACACAAAAGGAAAATAGGTAAAGGAATGGATGGTAGAAAACCTGCTGATACTAACCAATGAACCTGATTCTAAACCAACCTTCTAGATGAATAGGACACTGCAGGCTTAACTACAACATGCATAATATAAAGACTGTACAGTCCCCACAGTGTGCTTGTCAGACAGGACTACAAACACTTGGGGACATTTTACAGACCTGCCCACTCTGCCTACAACTTTAAAAAGAAACCTAGCCTCAAGAACAAAGTGTGCAGAGCAAGCTGTGGAGAACCATGAAGGACCTGCTGCTCACATGTTCATAGAAGCGGCTCACCTGATGGTCTGATCTGAGCATACGAAACTGAACGCAAAGAAGAAGAAGTACAATTCTATTTCTAGAGTGTGGTTTACCATTCTCATGGTTTTTTTTAACAATGCTACAGGAGTCAAACCATAGAAGAAATTAGGCCCTCATCATTTAATAATACTGCCAAAGATAGAAGCAAGTGCACTGTAGCCAACCTTCATCGTGGAGACGGCACATAATTAATTAACAGATTAACTAAGTTGAACAGCTAGCAGAGACAATCTATATTCTTTGGTCATGTCATAAGAATGATATAACTGTAGGAAATCATGATGATGGAAGAGTTGGAGAACAGACGCGGGGGGAGCCAAGAAAGAAGATGCTGGACAATCTGACATCATGGCATGGCATCTGTGTCAGAACTGACTGAAAGTATGCGAGACAAAAGGTTGTGGATAGACATGACTCTGAACGCCACACAGCATGGACTCTAAGAGGACCAGCTGGCATAAACAGTAACAGAACAAAGATTGGGTATAGATTATAGTTCTATATTTTTTTTTATACACTGTTCGGTACTCAGTGGACGACAGAGTCAATTTGTGCCAGCTGCCATTACTTCTCAGAATATTTACTTATATCCAAGTAGGCTGAATTGTCCTAGGAGCATTTGTTAATTTATTTCTTCAAATTCCATAAATGGCCACTGGACCTCTTTGCTACAACTGCCTTCAACAGTTTTTTTTCTCGTTTTCTTGTTGTTGCTGTACATCTGCACAGGATAGGCATAACAGAATCTGCTGCTTGTGATTGTGGGGAGGGAAGAAAGACCCCTGAGCACATACTGCAGGACTGCCCAAACCACTCCTAGCAAAGTCTGTGGATCTGGCCCAACAGAGCTACAGTACAAGAGAAGCTGTGAGGGACCGGTGGCGACCTCAGAAGCATGACCCTATTTGTGACCCAGACAGGACTAAATGTTTAGCATGGTTGATGTTGAACGCAGAATAAGAAGAAGAATTGTTGTTGTTGTAGGGGGAGCCGCTGTAGTACAGTAATCTTGGAATCGAATCAAAACTAAGCTGGATTTTGTTAAATGACTTTCACTTCCAGGTGAAGCCAACCTAAATTTGTACTAGGTAATGGCAGCATGTCAGCGTCTGTGGCTTAAGCGTTACGAACAAGCTTGTAATGCTGGGGTGCCTGGTTCGATCCCAGCTGCGGGCCTTGCACCTTGCGATGGTTTCGACAGTGGTGTTGAGAAGCCGACCGTCCAGAAAGCAATGGCAAACTACTGGACGTAAACTTGCCTAGGAAAACCACAACAGCCAAAAAATGCTGGGGTTTGTTCTGCAACGTCCTGTAAAGGATATGCAGCTAACTTTTTTTTTATGGCAGTATATAGGTTATGAACAAGCGAGTAAATAGCACTAAACGGGCACTGAAATAGGAAACAGGACTGAGGAAATGACATTCAAGAGAAATGCTAAAATGAATACTGACGAGACAGGTTGAAGGTGTCGGACTAGATTCTATGTGTGACACAAAAAAGATTGCCCAGGATAGGATGGAATTGAGGATTCAACCAAGAGTCATAATTTGAAATTTTTAATTAAGAGTTGAAATCACAAGACTCAGGCATTCACATAAGCGCTACGTCCTTATTTTCAGAAGCAAGCGTAGAGTTTCAAATCTGATGGCACCATAATATAATGGCACAACAGACTGATGATGATGGTAATGCTTGTGATAGAAGGTTGTGATATGGAGTCTGTACGATTTACCAAGCAGTGCAACTGCATACGTGAAAAAAAATAGTCAAATCTGACTTACCTCCCACCATGTTAATGAGTTCATCAGGAATGCCAGGAGGCCGCGGAGATACTGCTCGTCCATTCTCATCAGCAGTTACTGGTCGTTTGTTTGGACTCCTGTTTTCTTTTGACATTGTTAAGCCCTTAATTTAAACTGCTGCAGACTGAAATTCCCAAACCTGAAATAATTGTCAGCATTTAGATTATGAGTTGATTTTAGGTACGTTCTGTTACTTTCACTGGCCACTTCAAAATGACCAATGCTAGTAAAGTTTGTTGTATCCAGATGAGAGCTCAGGTTCTAACAATATCTATTAAAAATTCTTCTTCTTCGCGTCCACCGGCTGTAAACTCCGGCGGAAAGTTCTGGTTGTTTGTCTACTTTATTAAAAATTGAAAAAGAACAAACTTAATATATCCTAATTATAACGACAAAGGGTCGAACAGAAATTTGTTAATTAAATTTATCAAAATGTGAACATCTACAACAAGAAATGTGAACAATAATTTGCTGTTTGCCTAACTGTTTATGGAATATTTTGTATAACTACTCAAATTGTAGAAAACATGTCTTAAAACTGAATTATCGACTATCCTTCAAATAACGGGCACATATTATGGCGGCCTCAGTCACATGTAAATTGCGGACTTCCTCTAACTTAATTTGCGGACTTCCGGCGACTACCGCCACCGCCGAGAGTATCCCCCACGCCACTCACGTGGCGTGGATTGGGGCTAAACCAGATGGCTGGAACTCACGAACAAAGCTGCAGGAGAGGCGGAAGCTGCTGCTTGTGAGTTCCAGCCATCTAGTTTAGCCCCAATCCACGTCGCTCCCGCGGCGTAGGGGATACTCTCGGCGGAGGCGGCAGTCGCCGGAAGACCGCAAATTAAGTCACCGGAAGTGCGCAATTTACATGTGACTGAGGCCCTGTTAGGGAGTTTTTGTGGCCGCTATAATATGTGCCCGTTATTCGGAGGATAGCCAAATTATCAAATAATATGGTACAGTTTGGCAATAGCCAATTTTTTTCAACATTATTTGCTAATGGAATGGGCCATGGCAGATGTAAATGTATTAAAATATGTCACACATAATTGTTTTAATTTAGTTATTTTTTTTCTTTAGGTCTTGTCACGAACATAGGATGTATGGTTGCTAAGGTACATAAAAGTTGGCTATCCTCCGACTAACGGTCGGTAAAGATGGCGGCCGCAAAATATCCTTTCGAGCCATAGCCACGTGTCCATTGCGCACTGGCGGTCACGATAACACCGCGGCTGCTGCTCGTGGATCCTAGCCATCTAGTTTTGAAAAAGCTTAAAAAAAGTATTCTCCATTAGCTTAATGATTAGGTAAAAAGAGGCTCTCTAAGTTTGGTTAGTTGTGTATCCTTTCCAGGACGTTGCAAAACCAACCCCAACAGCCCCTGGCTGTTGTGTGGTTTTTCTATGCAAATTTACGTCCAGTAGTTTGCCATTGCTTGCTGGACGGTCGGCTTTCTTGATACCACTGTTGAAACCAACGCAAGGCGCATGGCCCACAACTCGAATCGAACCCGGCATACCGGCATTACGAAGCGTTCGCATCGACTTAGCGGACTTAGCCACAGAGCTCTTAATTGAGATTTAGCTTAAAATTTTTTATCTCGGCTTAGGATTACAACGAGGCTTGGTGGACTTCTTGATTGGACTTTGGCGGGAATCCAACTATGCTGGTAAATTTTTTTTAATTTTTTTTTTATTAATAATTTAGAAAACATGACTAACGTTATATGGTCGCCTTCTAAAATAATCGTAATTCACTGTAATTTCAAAACTCAAAACAAACTTCCGGTTAAAATGGACGCGAGACAGCGGCGCTGTTCGAAGCAGAGGCAAATTCGGACGGTGGCCGAAGTATTTTTGCTCCATTTGTAGACTGGATATAGTTTCGTCGCCCAGCTTCTGAGTTGAATGCATGGTGTGACCCTGTGAGCTGCGGATTGCATTTGGAATGTATTTTCGACTGTGACTGACTGACCAACGTGGTGCTGTGAATTGTAGATTCAGAAAATGGCGTGATGCCTGTCGTGCAATGTTGGCGGTGCCCATATCTGGTTAAAATTGATCGCATAGACAACTGCTGAACTGTTGGCGACAAGTTCTGCTATCATCAATGATGAACTGCATTTCTAATGTTGGACTGTTTGTGTTAGCACTTCGGATGGCTACCGTATGCTTTAATGCGAGTGTATGCTAGATATGCTGAGACAGCAGTCTGTCAATCTTTCCACAAAGGACTGTGATAAACATTCTGGGTGTTTTTCGTTGGCACAGGAGCGGAGCAAAGATGGGGCGACCCGTTGCTATGAAGCTGAAACTAAGACTACCAGACCAGACTACCAGACCAGTCAAAACAAACTCGAGGATATCAATTTCAAGACTTAAATTGTAAATAAAGTTTATTAAGTTTATAATAAACATTTGCTCTTCACTGTATGACTTCCATAATTCTCCTTTAATTTAAGAAACTCGTTCGATTAATAATAAATTGTATGATTTATAACCGTCAACAAAGTAACGATGAAATTATGAAAACAAACATCTCGAATCTATGTACAGTTTTGAACAGCAGAATGGAATGTCATGTCTCGTTGTAAAAACGGATTTGTCAAACGAAACAATTATTAAGATCTGTTATATGCCTAGAAGGATTATCAGTGATACACGAATGAAAGAAATGATTACTTGCTATATTATTTATAAAAGTATAAAATTGAATATAAAATTGATGCTTTATTTTTCAATTATAACAGGTTTAATAAAATAGTGTTTGTGGATAAATACAACTAACTAATAATAAAATTGTTTGTGCAATTAAAGAAAAAACATTAGTAAAAGATAAAATAATTCACAATAAAAAATCTTCAAAATAAATATCTGCAGCAAGAAATGTCAATCATAATAAGCTGTTTGATTAACTGTTTATGGAATATTTTTTTTTATAAATCGCAGTATAACAAAATGCAATACGCAATACTAAATGTCCACCCAATCATATTTTTGACGTAAAATACGTAGTGAAAAGACAATAATTTATTATTCCAAACAAAACATATACACGCACAAACTAAAATATAGTGGAAAATTAACATTAGTCATTAAATTATTACATTAAGTATCATTATAAATTAACAATACGAATAAATGTCAGAGGATCCGTAATTAATTCAAACGTGTTTTATTGAATCACTTAAATGTTAACATGACTTACGCGATTCGTTCTTTAACTGTTAGTGCCTTTCGAAGCTTAATTCACAAGTCCATTTAATCACAAGGAGCAGTTTGATACATACAATAAAACAAATGAATATGTGAAGCAACCAAATAGTAACAAAATGTAAACAATGAAAAATATGTGATCGATTCTGTTTACGGAACTGGAAACTATGGGGGTCACCCCCATACGGAACTGACGAATCAGTCCCCATTTGTGCTCAGCATTATTTTTAGAATCTATTTTTTTTTTAAAGGTGAATGGTCTTTGCCCTTCGTTCTTATGAATATGTTATTAAGCTAGCATTGTACACTTTCAAAGACTGTACTTCAAGGAACATCGAGGGGGTAATCGAAGAAGAGCTTGGAATGACAACATCAAGTAATGGACAAGGCTAAGTTATCATACACTTATTCATCAAGGGTAGGACAGAGAAAGATGGCGGGTTTTATGTAATCTGGTAATCTTAGTTTCAGCTTCATAGCAAATGAGTCACCCTATAGTTGCCCTGAAAAACACAAAAAATATATATCACAGTCCCTTGTGGAGAGATTGACAGACTGCTGTGTCAGCATATGCGATAGCATACACACGCATTAAAAGCCATCCGAAGTGCTAACACAAACTGTCTGACATTAGAAATGCAGTTCATCATGGATGGGAGCACTAGTGACTAGAAGTCACCAACAGATCAGCAGTTGCACATGCGATCAATTTTAATCACATAATGGCACCACCAATATTGCGCCAACCAGCGTCGCGCTATTTTCTGAATCTACAATTCACACCACCACGTTGGTCACAGTTGAAAAACATTCCAAATAAATCCGCAGCTCACAGTGTCACGCCATACACTCAACTCAGAATCTGGGTAACGAAACTATATCCTTCCAGTCTGCAAATGGAGCAAAAATGCAACGGCCACCGTCTGGCAGAAGCAAACAAAAGAAAATTTGCCACAGCTAAAAAAAGTGGCTGTGCCTATCGTCCATTTTGACCTGAAGCATTATTTGAGGGTTAATGAACGATCACCACAACAGTACCCTCACTATTAGCTGGGGAAGGGACTTAGGACATTACATCCACCAGCAAGCGTCGCCCCTACAACAACCTGACTGTCTTCGTTAACGACTGTTCGCCCAACAGACATGCAGTTCTTTGGCACGAAAGAGACACCATGAACTTGCGTGTCGGACTGCCGACTCCCTACAATATGTTATGCTATGCTATCACAATCGACGTCACTGCATATTGGGCATTCCCATGCGTGCTCAGTCCTCCGATGCAGCAGCCACTCCAGAGAACTTCAACTAAATGTTCCCATGAGAAGATTGTTATATTGGCTCCTATCTCAGCCTCGAAGACGGCAAAGACGTGCTTCACCATGTTTTACTCCCATGTCACGCAATCGTGTTAGTGTCAGGGATTCCTCATTATCCACAAGCCCAGTCCGTACAGCGTTGACGATATCAGCTCTGTCCATGCTTTTCCCGCAATCCTTAGTGCAGTGCTTGCCAGCTGGTCTGCTCGCTCATTTCCCTTTACGCTCGCATGACCCGGTGTGTAGATCCAGGTTACGGAGGTTAAGTACGATTTTAGACTCTCCTCCGAACTTCTACCCTATATTATGGCGGCCAAACAAATACCCTTTAGGCCCTCAGTCCTATGCAAAATGCGAACTTCCTATCGAGGGACAAATCGCGGCAATACTATGTGTGACAATACGCTCTGTGACTTCAGAATGTCTTACCTTAACCTACTTTTATTCCTTTGTGTTTCGAAGTATACAGAAATAAATGGTTTTGGATACATCCCTAATCTAAGTAAGGCGACCTGAACAAACATTTAATTTTCCTGGACTGTTGGTAATATCAA